TTGGAGGAGTCCGATCTATCAATCGAGGTGCCGGTGGGCGATTTTAGTAGACACGACAGGAGGGAGTCTTGGGAGGCCACACAGGCGTCGATCGTCCGTGATTCGGCGCACAAGGGAGTTTTTTATTTTGAATATTTCTATGATGGTCTTGCCACTAAACCGTGGTTCCAGAAAATTAATGCGGAAAGATATTTCGTGACTTTGTTTAATCGACTAAGAGCGAATCATTTTAATCTGGGTTCCTCATTGAAGAGAAAAGGATATATTGAACATGAAAGATGTGACTGCGGCTACGAGAGAGAAGATTTGTACCATGTGTTATTGACATGTCATAAATACGATGACTATAGAATTGATATGGACAAAGAACTGAGAGAAGTAAACTATTTGGAGAATATTGATCTAATGCGTATTATCAAATCAAAACAATGGGATGTTCTTTATATAATTTTTAAATTCTTTAAGAAAGTTGGTAAGGTTATTTGAACATGTATTGGCGGGCTTCGATATATTGAATCGCGAGTTCGAGAGTGAAAGATGGAGGCGCCACGCGTCAGTAGTGGGGCCGTAGGATGGAAGTGTGTATCTCGGTGATAGTGTGAAGGAATGACTGGGTCTACATCGCTTGTGCTAATTACCTTAGGGTACAAGGCACCTTATTTCCTCATCCGAGGAATATAACTGATAAAACCCCCCCCCTCAAACGTGTCGGACATGAGGCTGTTTGAAGTAAAAAAATGCCCTTGGGGCACGTTGTCACAAATTTGATAGGAATCTATTCCGAATCTTCGGATGACGATTACGAATAAAAATATTTTGTTTAATCACCGACATGATTATAAAAGAAAAAATGTTTATCAATAAGTTGCGCATTCGAGTGGAATTTTTGCCTATTTAGATTAAGACGAAAACTTCGTGCTTTTTGTACTTTTTTGAAATAAAATAAATGTTTCTGTGAAGGATTTTACTTTTTTACATTGCAACGCACTATAATATATTGATATTTACGTTGTATACAGTTTGGATTACATTTTGCATGCAATTACATTTGATGTGACAACGTGCCCCGGTCACGGGGCACGTAGTCACAAGCGACCTGTCGTTATTTATTGTTATGTAACAACTGTAGAGTAACAATCACACAAAATTCGATACTGTCCAATTGAAGCTGAGGGTTCACTCAAAATTTTGGCATATCAAAGTACTCTTAAATATTGAATGTAAAAAATACAAAAAATATTGAAAAAAATGTGTGACAACGTGCCCCGGTCTACCCTAGGTATGGTTGGAATGTGATGTCATAGTCAAGTGATCAGGAGAACGCTGCAAGTATGAGAATTAATATCGTGGTCATTTTTAAATCCATTGTTCAGCAATGCGACCTTAGTCGCACTACGTGAAGGTACAAGGCCAAGGGATGATGTATGTACCTCCCGCGGTGCATCCTGGGTGTAGTGCTAAAGCAGCCCGCAACTTTTATTTGACTTTAGCTGTGTTTTGAAACTCATAAAAACCATCTTATGTTTCAATTTTGACAAAAAAATTTGAAGGCAAAGCAATTTTAAATTTTAACATAAAAATGGCGATAACTCAAAAACAACGCATTTATGAACCTATGTTTGTATCAACTTTCTTTCTCGTTTTTGATTCCCCACTCATCTTTCGAGCGATTAACCTCGACTTACGGAACACCCTGTTAAATAATAAAGTTCAAGACTATTTATACTTATTATATATGTCGCCTTAGTCGCATTGCTGAACAATGGATTTAAAAATAACCATGATATCAATTCTCATACTTACGTTCTCCTGATCTCTTAACTGTGACATCACATTCCAACCATACGTCAATACATTATGAGCAGACGAGCAGATCGGGTTTCCAATTTTCCACTCTTTCCAGTCCCGAAGCACTCATCCATAGCGTACTTAACGGAGATCGTGAGAATTATTAAATATTGTATTTGTTATGCCGCTGATGATGGCTCAATGCGGAGCCGAAACGTTCGGACAAAGATATAAGAAAAATTAATAAATAAATTTCGATTTATCACGCACAAATAACCGCGTTGGCTTTCGATGGCCAGATTTAATTTGATATACGTTTTTGAGTAAATTGTAGTCTTTTTTTCATGAAAAATACTTTTTCAAATTGTTTTCTTGGCTAAACGCCGAGGCACGTGCTGTAATAAAGGATAATAAAGGATATTGGACTTTGATTAAAACGGTTATTCTCCGCCAGGCATTTTTGCTGGATTATTCGCCGTGTAGTTTCGAACTCCCATTCGACCATACAAAATCACTGCGGTTTACGGTAACCATTTTACCGCACGCATTATTACAGTGTATGTACACATCTGTAGCATCAGAGGTTTAGGATACGATATTTATCTTGATTATTGACGGAAATATGTTAATTTTTTAGGTAATTACTGCGTCGCGGAGTACCCTAGGCGTGCGCGCTCGCGCTCAATTGTACCACAAGACAAGTTCAGACAAGTTCAGAGTTTCAATTGTTTTAACAATACAATTGAGCGCGAGCGCGCATGCCTAGGGTACTCCGCGACGCGTAGGCAGTAATTATTTAAAAATTAACATATTTCCGTCAATAATCAAGATTTTAGAAAAATTCAAAAGCCATTTTGTTTGTCGTGAAAAGAGGAACAAATTTTCTCCAGTTCATTTTTTTATAGGATGTATAGTTTGATTGCTAGGGCAATTTAAACAAATAAATTGTCAATAACTTTTTATTGCATCGACTTACGAAAAAACTATTTACAGATTCTTGTTCTACGACCCAAAAAACGTAAAAAAACATTAACTTAAGCCATGAACCTCGAAAAAATGCTCAATCGACCTGGCGACTCGACTATACGGTATTAAAACAAAATTTGTACCCTTTTAAAATATTAATTAGAAACTACTTCTCTATAAGATCTAAAGTGTTAAGCACATTGTCCTAAAGCTTTACAAGTTTCAAACTTATTTCTTGATAGTATTTGAAGCAATTAATGTTTCGTCGCTTTAAAATATATTAATGTCTATTATATGAAACATTTGAATATTTCCGACGACTATGTATAATGTGTTTAATATAGTGCAATATTCGTATAATATAGTGCAAGAAGTCTTCTAGCATCCAATACAAAATGACTTTCCATATATAGTTATTTGTGTAACAAGTGCCGTAATATGAAAATTCCCGGGTGCGGAGTTTACGCACGAGCCGAAGGCGAGTGCGGTAACCGCACCCAGGAATTTTCATCTTTACGCACGGCTTACATACTCTATTTTATGTTGCAAGTGCCTGTGGAAAGTGGTCTATCACGCACGCGTAGCGTGCGTAATGGGGCACTTTCCATGCACGTGTTGCATAAAATATATTACTTATATCATTCAGGGAATATTAACATGAAAATTTGCACCTTGTATGGTCCATGGTTTCGTGCCACTAACCTGAATTCGTGATAATCGCAATGAGACATTACAAGTGAGTCACGCGTAGTGATTTACCTTCTCGCATATGGCTACAGAAGCTGCGTGAAACCTGGCTAGTCCGTCAAGCGCCAATATGGTATGAGCTAGGTCAAGACCAGACAGACGATTGGCCATGCGAAAGCCGAGAGGCGCGAGATCCTCGATCACCAGAAGCGTTGGATTTTTATTTTGCACGTATAGGCCCTTCCCGCTTAAGCGATGCTCCGGCCCTAACAACTTATTCATTTTATCCAAGGTATCTGACATCATCAATATCTCGATGTCAAAGACGCCTGATAATTCGATCTGTAAAAAGTTTATTTAAGATTAACAAATAAAATCTTTTAAAATCAAACAAGCATGCAATTAGTTTTGTGATGTAAGGGTTTAAATAAAAAGTTTTGGTTTCTCAGAAATGACAAATAAATAATAATTTTATTCCGCAAATCAAAATTGATTTTAAAATGACTCAAACATATACTTTTCTTCTAAATGTAGGTATAGGTGCCTCTTTGAACTTGATAAAAATAATTATGTTTTCAATCACTGAGTGCCTCAAAAATAATTGTCCTGATCTTTTTGTTGAGCAGAAATCTACTTCGAAATAGTAGAATCTGCCACTTAATTTGATTTATTTGTATTAGAAATATTATATGAGTTGAATCAACTTACAAAGTGACGAATGCCTTCAGCTACAGGCGCGATTTTGACAATGATTGATTTCTTCTCCGTAATTTTACTGTCGCTTTGGTCACGCGAAAATTCGGCAGTAACCCTAATTATATCGCTTGTGTAGCCGTCACCCTTAGCCGTGGCTGATTTCGAGAATATCTCGATCACCTGAATCGAGTTGTCGCCTTCCGACTTTCGCAGGATCTTCTCCACGAAGCATAGATTCAGCCATGCCGGTGTCTCTAGGGCCATTTCTGAAATTGGAATTAGAATTGGAATTGGAGATTTTTCCCAACAAATCATTGTTCTTCCTACCGTGTCACGAAACGCTAAAACGATTCTTTACGATAACTTATTGTTCGCAGCGAGATTTATCACGTTTTCTTTCTCCCTTTTCAATCCGCTCCCTCCCACTCATTCCGGCCTTCCCCTCCTTTTCTTTGTCGCGCCACCCTTCCACCGTTTTTTTCCCCGCCCGCTTTACCGTCGTTTTTTTCTTCATATTCGTCGATATTCAAGAAGGGCGCGCATTCTCCTATACGTTTGAGTTAAGAGCTGTTTCAATTAAGAGCGTAATAGGAAGCCCTTTTCTCTTTCCCCTTTTTGGTCAACGGCATACGTACGTTCCGCGTTGAGATCCCGTCGAACGTGATCGAGTTGCGGTATTTGCGAGAAATTTACGACGCGTCTGTGTGTGTGGCGCGCCGCGATCGCGTGCGTATTTGTGGTCGAATGACATCGGCCATATTTCACCTTGATGAGTTTTCTCAGAAATGTTTTCCGCTGTTTTCTCATAATCAAATCCGCCCATTATTAGATGGACGTTTAATGACTGAACTTATGAGGAACACATATAATTTTAATAATATATAAATAATTTATAGCAAATGATATAAATTACAATAAAAATGGTTTACTTATCAAGTGCCAGAAATGCAAATAAATGACAAAACTTTTTATTCTTTAATCGATTTCAAATAAACTTTATTTTAATTAAATTATGATACATCTTATTGCAATGATTAATTTAATAAATGGATTGAAATGAATTTAAGAAAATTTTGATAAAATAGATGGTAACATTTAAAAAATGCATATAATTATACATATTTTATACTACATAAATATGTATTGATATATTTAATTGTGTAATACCTTTTTTTTTAGTTGTACTATTTTCACATTATATAATTCTAACATCCTAACATTAATCACTACGAAAACAAAAACAACGAGATAAGATTAAAGTTGAAAACTATTCATTTGACGTAATAATTGCTCAAGCAAGTACGTAATCGCGTATGTTATGCTTATTATAGATAAAGCATAACATATGATTATACACTTGCAGTAAAGTCACTACGCTATTGAAGAATATGAACGTAATTTTTTTATATCAAAGTCAAATTATTATTATTTAGTCAAAATTGTTGTATGTTTTACATTGTTACGTCTTAATATGTTACTTTTTATTTATTTGAAATACCTGCTATAAAAATTAATAGCTTTACACAATTTTCAATGTCAATAATCATCAATTTGCCACCTCACATAATAAGTATGTAAATCTGTTTGATTGTTTATTCTATTATATTACCATTATTATAGTTTTTTCTAAGAAGTATTCACAACAGATTTCTATGTATTTTTATTTTAATATTTTAATACATTTTGATTAGAATAGCATACTATATTGCTTAATTGTTAAAGGCATCAAAAGTCGGCCTCAAGTAGTCCAGCTACAAAAATATCGCGCAAATTATATTTGCTGCACAGAAAACTCATAAAGTACATGTAACACTCAAATGAATCTTGTTAGATTAAATATACTTATCTTAAAAGAAAACAAACCCAAGTTTTCTCCTCAATTTTGATGAACTTTAGGTATGTTACATTACAGATAAAAATTAGAGTATATTTTTAGTGCTTTTATGCATGTCAAAGAAGTGACACACTCTATCGGAAAAAATCAATTCTTATGTTTCTAATCTAAGCGTATATCTCATCGAAACGATAAGAGATAGGCAAAAATGTTTTAACTGAACTTTTAAGGTGCGATTTTATTGACGCTAGAAACCAGCGGCAGCGTCAAGAAAATATGTAGTGGGAAAAGAAGTTCAGACCGTTTCAACTTTTTAGCGTACCACAAAATTCAACGAAACTTTTTTCCCCACTACATTTTCTTGACGCTGCCGCTGGTTTCTAGCGTCAATGAAATCGCACCTTTAATGTTCACGATCTTATAGCGACGCGCGATGCTTCTTTTATGATATATGAAATCGTGATTAACGTTATGTTACTGCGTGAATGCATTTATTAATATCACCATGCTGCGTCATTCTAATTAACTTTTTTATTTTTTTCAATAAACGTTGGATACCAAACTAATGTTCGGCTGTAGTTCCGAAAAGTCCATACCTCTGATTGTTCTGAAATTTTGTATACTATTAAATTTTAATATGCTAATTATGAATATGTCAATGAAAATTGACGCAAAGGTCATTTTCTAGGTAAAAA